TATTTTATTTAATTCCATTGTATGCATTTAAGCATGTATAAACCTATTTAAGTACATATACATACTTATGTACCTCCATATATAAACATTTTTTGCCTAAATATTACTGAATGACCTTGTACATGCAGCCGAGCTTCCATGTATGTAGTTCAAGTGTTTAAGTATCTCCATACATATATGTATTTACATATGTATATGTATAAAACATAAACATAGGTATGTATGTATGTATGTACATTGCACATTGGTAGTGCATGATGATTTGCTGCTTTTATTGCATTGGCCCACTTTCGAGCTAGCTATATATGCTGGGTATATACATTTATACTTACAAATGTACATATGCATGTATGTGTGTGCATAATTTTATTTAGTTCATCGATAAGTGCACCAAAACTGCTCATCTGTGAAATTAAATAAATATTTTAGTATGTATAAAAAGTAGCAATACATTTTGTTAAAACTTCAACACTCATTCCACACCAAATTCGTAATGTTTTCTTTTCGAAATATTCAATTCAACGCTTTAAACATGCCAATTGATATACATAGATACAAGCACACACGCCTAGAAGTATGCAAAAGATGTTTTCTTTCACTATTTCTTTGTACTTTTGTACTAAATACGCATATATGGCTACAAAGGATATTTACGCATACATATGTATTCATTCTTCAAGGAATTCCAACTATACATACATGCATACATGCATATGTGCAAATCCCATGATTTTTTACATGAAATGGTGGTTCATATCTTCAGTTTGGTATAAAGGACAAGACTCCATCGCGAAATTGTGTTTAAAAAATGAAAGCTTAAAAAATATATACTAAAAAGAGTAATTTTTAGCAAACAAAACCGACTTAAAAGAAAAAAAAATATATATATATTTCATGATCCAATGATCGGATCTAAACCAGATTAGTATGGGACCACCTCTGATTTTCCATTTCGAATCATCGAAATCGGTTGACGTGGTTCAAAGTTATGCGGTAACATACATAAAAAAAAAAATATTCCGACGAACTGATAACCTCCTTTTTGGAAGTCGGTTAAAAAATAAATAACCACTCGCTCATATACCCGTAGTTGCGTATGTAACGTATATGCCCCGTAGCACCATACGAAGTCATCTTCTAACAAGTTTACTCGCACGCCTTAACTTGAAAGCCATACTATTTAAAAGTGATTAAATATTGGCGTTTAATATTTTTACACAGTATTCATTATGCACATATGTATGTATTTCTTTCTTCATATATATAACAATTTTAGATAGAATTTCGAGCGCACCAATAAAAATTGTAGAAATAAAATTTTATTTTCTCAAATCATAGTCTTCTTTTACTCAATGCAATTTTTTTCCTTTGATGACACACTTGTTTAGTTCGTTTTGGAAAGACGAACATTCTCATCGTTTAATTTTAATTAACATTTTGAAGTAACTTAAATTATTAAAAATAAAAATAAAAAAATCCAAAAATTTCAAAAATTAAGAAATAGCTGCGACAGATATTTTGAATGCTGCCATTTTTTTTTATTTCGTGGTGTACTCTTGAAACTTCACAGATATTTTGTACTTGACGCCAACGTCCATTGCTTCAAACATGAACATTCTACATATTTGAAAACTTACCAAAGTTATTAAAAAAAGAGAAACAATTATGATTTTTTCGAGTGACCATTAAAAAATTAGTAATTTCGGTTCTTTTCCGCCTAGATAAACGTTTTAAGGGTAAAATTTTTCAAATACCTGGTATATTTTATACTTTACATACATACATACATATTTACATCCTGGTTGCGCCATTGCGTCGTTATCTACAAAATATTAGCAGTCTATATATCAATATTCTAAATAATTTAAAATTTTCCCGCAGACGCTGTTCAATGAATATATCAGAAATATAATGCAATCAACTTGTTTGACATTTTGTGATGCTTGATGCATAATATGTATGTACATATGTATGCAGGCTGTGTGTAGTACCAGCAGAACCACACAGTGAATGCACCCCTTCATCATTTCATTGTCCTTCACTTAGGTTTGTTGTATTCAAACTTATGTATGAATGAGCGCCAGCATCCACTGGTATCTTTACTTACATATATTTGCCCTACATTTTCCACAGCCATGGTCGCACTATGTGCTACATAAGTGTCATTTATGTATATATGCATATGTATATATATGTAAATTCACTTTAGTACATAGATGTTTGTAATATATGAAAAGATTTTCACTTTCCTGCTGCTTGTGCATATCCTTTTATACTTTCTTAACTATGTAGGCACTTATGTACATATGTATACAAATATAAAGTATACATACATTATATTTTGCTTCCTTTCTTTCTTCTCTTTTCTTATACATACATACATATGTATTGAAACTTTCCCCTTTCACTTTTTTTTTTTTTTAACGCGACGCTTTTGATAACCCAACCCAGCCTTGCGTATCAACAGTTGTTGCTATTTTTGGAATTTGTCACTGTCACTGTTTTTAAAATACTTACCTACTAATGTATATATTTATACATTTCTGCACAATTTATGTACATACATAAAGTATATGTACCGATGTCCATCGAATAAGTAGATATTCAGGCATCTCGCTACGCTGCTGTTTTCCTCATCTTCTTGCGCTATTTTACATTCACCTACTTTCCCTACGTTGGGGCTGCTAGCGTTCAAGGCCAATAGACCAGCGAGGCAGCAACCAGCAGCCAACCCTCCACTGAGCCAACCAAAAGTAATCCTACCAAATATATGTACATACATGCGTACAAACTTACCATTGCAATTCAATGCTCCCACTCATGGTTGGTGACAGAAAGACGAGTAAGAGGAGCAGCAGCAGCTTTTGTTCGTATGGCTACTATGTAAGTCGCTGACAGCGAGCGATGCCAGTCATCGTCGCTGGTGGTAGTGATGGGGTGGCATTGTTGGCAGAGCGACCAACTAACTCTGTTGGTCTTTCGATATTCGCATGTGTTGCATTAGTGTGCGTCTTTGGGGATCAATAATGAATGGTCTTTACTGCATTTACACTGTGCCACTTTTTTTACGCGTTGTTCGATTGCAATGCCTCTGGGCATGCGATTTGCTGGTAATTGTGCTTTTTTGATTTTTTATGTTTTTTTTTTTAGCATGTTTTGCTTTTTCCTGTAATTCTCTACTTGGTATTATTGCAATCTCTCGCTTTGCGAAAACAGCTGACGATTTCCTGTATTGTTTTCTTTTCGTATTTAAAGCGATTTATCACAAGTATTGCATACTTTTCGGCTTCAGGCGTAACATTTTTTTTCACTCGATATCAGTGCATGTTTTAACTTCACCAACCTCAATTGCTATTTTTCATTTTGATTGGCATACTTACAGGCGTTTTTTATGATTTGTTGTTAAAAAAAAAAATAATTGGACATTGAGTTTTTTCGAAAAAGTCGAGTTTGTGAAAGTATTTTATGCCAATACACTTATTCCGTGGTTTTTGTTGTAGCAGCAGTGCTCAACCTCCCCAGGAGGTCTGGTCAGCCTATGACCCGTTCGACCTCGGACTCTGTGAGGAGGTGTTTATTTCTATGAGAACCATATCCGCATGCTGGGTAGGTGCTTTGTCACTTCTGAGCTTAGCCGATAGAGATAACTGTCAAGTCTGTGGCACTAGCCGAAACGAATCCGGGTCGCAGTTGTGCTTACTCAGTGGAGAGCTAAGGCTCATCTTGAGTCATCGCGATAGACGTTGTTGGGTGTAGCTGCAGTCTGACGCGCTGAGTAGGCGAAGCATTTCGAAACAGAGCGTTGTTGCTGAAGGTTATGCTCGGGCGACATGAGATGACATCCTGTAGCACGACGTAGAGCTGTGTTCTGACGCGTTTGCATATTTCTCTACTACGCGTCGTTTTTTTCCGCCAACCACATTACCGGCAGCCTTATACGTTGCTGGCACTGTATCTTTCTCGGTTCTCCAAGTGTCGAGGCGAAAGTGCAATCGAACGAGACACCCAAGATCTTAGGGTAGTTGTCGGTAGACATTTTTGCACCATGGATTTTCCCATCTAGTTCTAGTGTATTCTCCTTGGCTCACGTTCTGAACAGTGTGGCGGATGAATGGTTGATAGGTCTTCAAGGTTACTACAGGTGATGGAAAAGGTAGATGTACCAATTGAAGGCTACTCTGTGTCGAGTACGCCGCCTTGAGGAAACCCCGCTCAAATTCTACGCGGCTTAAACTTAGCGTTGCAATTGATGATGGTCGTCCACGCAAAGAGTAAGACATCCACCGTTTCACCCGATTTGGAAGCGACGGGAGTAGGATGTATGCACATTAAAATTTAGAACCATACATACTTGCTCTAAAATGTCAAAAGTTACTGAATTTTAATCTCTAAATCATTATCAGGCTCGCCTAAAGATACACAATGTCTCCATTACATTGCCTGTTCCGCTAACGATGGTCACTTTTTGGATATCATATTACTTATTTCACGTGATGAGTCCCCCTCCACCGTCAAAAAATTCTAATCCCAAATAAGAGGATATAAGCAGTGGTATTCTACTTTTAAGCCAAAATTGTCTAAAAATATGTCCCATAAAAACCCAAGGGATTTAAAAAGGGAATCGAGTGAAATCAGTGAAATCTGTATTCGTTGCATATTTTTAGGCAAACGAGTTTATCAAATGAGTTTCTGCTACATTTTTTTACCTCTTCTCATTGCTCATCCAACCATGCATTATTATTCGATTTTATAGAGACTTTTATATTTTTTATGCGGTATTTCTGTAGACGACACTAGACTGGAGGACGGACTAAGTTTCCTCAGCAACTTTTTTGTGTTGTTGTGAAAAAATATCTTGAACTCTATTAGTTCATAAAACATAAGCTTAAATGAACTAGTATTATTATTTTAATTTCCTATGACTCCTCTTCATACATACCTTAATCTTCTATAGTCCATCTCTAACAAATTTCTCATTTTACGATGCCTTACTCTTTCAGAACTTACTTGAAATCAACATTTCATGGTGTCATTTAATCTCAGAGAATGGCGTTGAGGCCTTGGCGCGCGGCTGTAAAAAGCTACGCAAATTCTGCAGCAAAGGTTGTAAACAGGTCAACGACAATGCCATCACCTGCCTGGCCAAATTCTGTCACGACCTAATGGTGCTCAATTTACACAGCTGTGAGGTATGCACGCGAATGTAATGAATGTAAAAATGTAAACTAAAACCTCCTTATCTTCCCTACAGTCAGTCACCGATGCCTCGATACGACAGATCGCAGCCAATTGTCCTAAAATGCAAAAGCTGTGCGTTTCGAAATGCGCCGAACTAACTGATCTCTCACTTATGGCTCTCTCACAGAACAATCCGATGCTGAATACGCTCGAAGCGTCTGGTTGTCGTAATTTCACCGATATCGGTTTTCAAGCATTAGGCAAGAATTGCAAATATTTGGAACGTATGGACTTGGAGGAGTGCAATCAGATAACAGATTTAACGCTGGCGCATCTGGCTACCGGTTGCCCCAGTTTAGAGAAATTGGTATGCGTGAATTTTTATTCAGTTTTTCAAGTTAAGTTAAGCAAAATTTTTTTTTTAACTTCACTTTATTTTTATAGACCTTGTCGCATTGCGAGCTTATCACTGACGATGGAATACGTCAGCTGGCGGCTGGTTGTTGTGCAGCTGAAAGTTTATCCGTCCTCGAATTGGATAATTGTCCATTAATCACCGATCGTACATTAGAGCATTTAGTATCTTGTCACAATTTACAAAGAATCGAGCTATTCGACTGCCAAATGATTTCGAGAGCAGCAATACGAAAATTAAAGGTGAGTGGGTAGAAGAAATTAATGACACAGACAAATTATCGACTCAGACGAGATGGGTGTTTTTACCGTTAAATCTGGATGGTGGGCTGAATCTCTATTGTTCCCTTACCTTCACTGTGCGTGAGCCGTTTTCTCTCTTCAAAAAAATCACTTCAATTTGAAATGTTGGTGGATTCAAAATTGAATAGGACTGCACATAAGCAAATTTTCTAGAGAATTTTCAGCATTAGAAATCAAAAAGATATTTTGAAGTTGATACAATATTTCAATCTCTGACGGACTAATAGCAAACATAACACCCGATGGGTATATTAGCGTATTCACGACAGTCGTAACCGGAACGGCCCAGATTTATATCACTCCACCATCACTCCTTAAAAGACTCTTTGAGGATTTAGAAGCAGATATATTAACTTAGAGATTCCACAACTGATGAACCAAAATCAGCGGAAGAAGTGGAAAGAGCACCCCAAGACCTGAAACTTCACCCCTTGCGTTAGTTGTTGTCAACCGTCAGATCTCTGCCCAACGCGATGATGCACGATGCCATCGTGGAAATTACAACGAATCATCCTTCGAAGCTATTAACCCTGAGTCATTAAATCGTTTGGGTCTGACGGGAGTAGACACCCTTACCGAGGTCCTCAATTTGTCGTTAGCCACTCTCATTACTCCTGATATGGAGAAGTATGGGGGAGTCAAGTCACTACTGCAACTTATCGTCCGATAACTATCCTTTACCCATTAGTAAAAACACTTCATGTCACTGTACTTACTTGAAGATGCACGGCTTCCGCAAGTGCACAGCACCACGAAAGCATTTAATGTCTTAACCTCTCTCCCCTTGTGAGAGAAGTGCGCTGGTAGCGTTGGACTTGGCGAAAGCTTGCGACATCTTGGTCACTTCTCGCTACTAGAGAAAATTGACATATCATCTCTCCCACCGGGTATAAAACGATGCTCAACCAATTATGTGAGTGATCGTAGTCGATAAAAAAAAAACATCCAATCCACTTTTGATCCTACATAACACCAATCACCAAATCTTCACTTGCTCCGTTAAACCCTCTCAGTCAACACCACTCTTTCTTTGCTTCGTGAGCTGAGTTTGACGGCGAACAATAATCGATGCCGCTACAACAACAACGTTCAGCCTGCGCCATTGTTTCAGAACTCGCGCGTTTGATTAAAAAAAAATATATAATTTGAAAAATAAAAAAAAATAACTCCTTTCTCACAATCTTTCAGAATCATCTACCAAATATTAAGGTACACGCCTATTTTGCACCAGTAACACCGCCACCAGTCACCACTGGACATCGCCCACGGTATTGTCGCTGTTGTGAGATTCTCTGAGATTCGGCCATCGGCTTCGCCAGGAAATTCTTGTGCAAGGGCCCTACTGACTGATGTTTGTATATATTTACTAGTACATTTTTAATTGTTCTGACGATCATAATGACATCGCTAACACTCATGTATCTCTTCTCGATGATTTTTTATGTTTTTTGAAAATTAACTAAAAATATTAAAGAACAAATGACAACATGCATAAATAACTACAAAAACAACCACTACTATAATCACAAGAATCACAATTAAAAATAGGAAATAAAGCCAATGCAAGTGGTGGCATGATTTAATGTTTGCGAAAACTAGCTAAGGCAATTGCAGTCAACCCAAGCAAAAAAAAAAACAAAGATTATGTTTGAATAATGCTCTGTAATTGAAATTTATTGTATATGCATAGGCAAAGCTTGTAATTACGTGATTGCACTGTAAAAATAGAGCAGAAATGTAAACAAACCAAAAAAATGGAAATTAAATGCAAGGCGAAGTGAAAGCAAAAATTATTAAACGTATTCATGTAAATTCGAATTGATTGAGACAAATTCACTGAGTTTTTAAGTCAAATGGACTTTATAAGGCAAAGGAACGCGATCTATGTTATATTGTACGAATAAAAGGTTTTGTTTTAACGAAATTCTAAAATCAAAATATAATGCACAAAGCAAAATTGAGAATTATAAAAGACTAAACGTTTAAAGCGAAAGAAAAAAAGAAGAAAAAATAAGTAATTAATTTATTGAAATTCAAAAAAAAAAAATCACTTAACTGCAGAAAAATCAATAAAAGAAGAAAAGTAAATTTACAAAAGAATTCGCGTAAGACGCTTTGCAATTTTACAAAATTTTCGCCGATTTTTGTGTTTCGCGCACGCATGCCGTAAAGTGAGTATTAAGAAAAAAAAAAAACATTAGCAATACAGTTTGAGAATTGAGAAGTGAACTGCGAATTGGTAGAGTGGTTGAGGAGAAGGAAAATGTTTGTAATTGTATTCGATTGTGACTGTATTTAGACATGCATATCGTTACCTTAATAGAGAAAGGCCCTAACTCATACAGTCGTTGAAGTGCAAAAAACCATACAAGCTAAAATTTTTTTATCGCTTAAATTAAAATTCTATGAAATGCATCAAAATAAATCAAAAAGGGAATTTTGGATTTTTACTTAGTTACGGCCGTTTTGTATTTCAGCGACGATGTGAGATAGGGTCTTTCTATATTACGGTAACGATATGTATCTACATTTCGCCCTCATTATTACAAAATTTTTAAGCCGTTACAACAACTGCAAAATTAAAATAAAAATTTGTTTAATGTTTTTTTGGCCTGTTAAACAGTAAATAAATCTCGTTTTGTTTAAGATATACTTTTATTAAGCTTGAACATTAAAGAAAAATTTCACCTACATTTTTTTTTTAATAATGAGGACAATGTATACATATATTTCAATTTGTATATACTTCTGTTGCTTGTTTTTTTATATCATTTTTTTGTCACACTTTAAGTTATAAAAGGAAATTTTTTATTTATAATTATCATGTCACGTATAAAACATATACTATGCTAATTAATGTTTATATTTTTTTTAGACATAACACAAACTGCGGAAATTCGCGCACGCATCAACACATAAATATATTTGAAACAATCATCATATATACACATAACATACTACACACCTACATATGTACATATGAACATACATCTGTGACATGTGAGAGTCTGAAAAGCAGTAGGTTTAACTAAATTAGAAATTTCTTTTAATATTTTCACCTACATAAAATTAGTGCAGTTTTTGCATTTCATACGTTTAGATTTTTGGCTATGTGTATTATAGCCACGGTGACCAACCGTCTTGTATTGTATGGAAAAGTCGTATTTTTTTAGACAATTGTGCTCTTAATTTATTTCGTTTATACGGAACTCAAAATGTTCTGTAGAAAATTATTATTCGAAAGTTTTAACAAAAAAAAATAGAATTTGAAATTGTATCTTAAGCGCTAAGGAACTGTTTATATCTTTTAATTGAATTAAGGGAACGCATATTCCAGTTTCTGACAACCAGGGAGCATAAAAAAACTCAAAATGTTACGAAATAAGTAAGGCTTTTAATTAAAAAAAAAAAAATTAATCAATGGCACGTTCTGTAGGTCCTTCGATTACAACTAAAACTTCATTCTAAACTGATATGTGAATAGAAGAAAGCTTTCTCAACTCCAAGCTCCAAGTTCAGAAAGCTCTAAGCAAAACTTAGATCAAAGTTTTACCATAATCGCGGCATTCGTGATCGAATGATATCTCGTTTTAAATTGAATAATTGCAATTTACAGTTTTTATTCCAATAAAATTCAAATTCGGACCCTAATAAAACAGGCAGCTGTGAAATATTGAACTGCAACAAAATAGGCAAAGGTTTTGGTAGGCGGGCACAGGTTAAAAGCTTTCTTTGGCCAAAATTGAAATTAAAAAAAAGACTTAGGTAGTGACCTTTATTATACATAGTTTGGTCTACCTCAGTGCTTTTACTCAGCGCGCTTTCATATAAAATTTATAAGAAGCTTTACAAGCAGCCTCATTGCGTAAGTCGTAAATTAGGCTGAATTGTACGACTCGACAACATTAGCATTGTCTACTGTCGTGCTGAAATAAGTAAACGACGAAAATTGTCGAAAACTATGCAGTGCTGCCAAGTTCTTCCGTTTTAATACACTAGTCGAGTGGAAATTTTAGGCAATGACGCTAAATTTTCGATACGATTCGACTCTCGAAAAACGACTTGCATTCGGCACGACTCTCGCAATGAGGCTGAAGGCTTCAAACGCGCGGGATTGGTTTTGGTCGTGAATGTTCTATAGGCACGCATGCAGTGCGTTTTTCAGCATTCTATATATTATACTGGCGTAAAAGCTCTTTGACCAATACTTTTCTAAATTGTAGTAGAATATTTTGTAATTAAGCTATCTTGTGATTGATGTTAAAAATTTTTTGTTAGATATATTCTATGTAGTTAGATTGAGCTTGAAGACTCTTACTTACACACACAGTTCATTTACAAATACTCACACACATATACACACATATATACATATATACACCCTGCAGTAAAATTTAGAGACAGTCTGACAAAGCGCTAGAACCGAACTACATATCTACATATATCAGAACTATATCTGAACTAGTGCAAAACCGATGCAGAGCGGAACAGTTGAAACTTGCGGTGTAAATGTGCAAATGCTGACTACTGGTACAATACGAGAGTAGCTCAGCGAGAAGACCTCCGAAGAGGCAGTTGTGAGTTTTCAAATTTAATGCATTAAAATTGTTGCGTTCGGTTTACAATATATAAATTTTTTTTTAAATAAAATATGTAACAAAAATGGAATCTGTAACACTAAAGAAAAAACGATAAAAATATTCAAAAATCGAATCTTAAAAACGTTTTCTTATAAAAAAAAAAAAAGCTGTCCAAAACGGACTCGGTTAAAAACTAGTTGCAAAGTAATGCACTGGGCGACAATTGCTACTGCCAATGACATTGCCGTGTAAAACTGAACAGTTGAAAGCATTGTTTGGCTATTGAGCTAGAACTAGTACTGTCGGCAATAGGTCTAGTTCTGAGGTAGTCAGATTTTCTGCAGGACATACATGCACACATACCCTCATTGCATTTAATTACATTTCCATATATACATACATACATACATACACACATGTATTTGTCAACTTGGCGCATAAGAGATTTACTAATTTTTCACCAATTGGCCGGCGAGCAACGAAAGTGTGTAAATAACAAAAAATAAAATAAAAATTATGTGATAAAATTTATGTAAAGAATTCGCTCATAATGAAATTATTATTTTCTCAAATTTTTGGTAAAAACAAATAAATGTATGTATGTCATCTAAAAAAAAAAAACTCTAAGCAACCGCACTATCGCGGTTTAAGCTTATCGTGGGCGTATACATATTCAGTATCCTCTATCTGCAATTTTTAGAAAAACTACGTGCTGATGTTAGAATCCAATTGGGACTTAATTGTCATCATTGATGTAAATTTTAACTATGCAATTCATTAGTAAGTAAATTCTTCTAACAGCTTAGTATAAGCTCAGCATTAACATCATCGATGCCAGTTAAGTCTTAGGTGGATTTTTACATCAGAATCTAATTTGTATGAAAACCGCAGATAGAGGGTGTTGAATATAAGCCGCCGATGTGAAATTTTTGCTGAAATAACAAAAACCGCTAAAAAATGTGAAGATACACAAGAATATTGAGAAGAAAGGTAGCTAACTACTTTTTTCCCTAGGGAAGTATTGTGTCGCTTGCCGGAATAAATTCATTTTCAGGCAAAAGCCGACACACATACAAACAAACAAACAGACCAACAATTTAAAAAGGACTTAATACCACAACACATCAAATAAAATTATGTTAAAATAATTAAATTTAACTACGAAAACAAAACTTAGTGTCCCATTGCATGAGTAAGCAACAATAACAAATACAATACACTTACAAAAGAAAAATGCAAAAAGAAACAGAGATGCGAAAATAGCAGAGACAAAAGAAACAAGAAAAACTTAAAAATCTACTAAATTATACAAAGCAAACGTAAATAGCGATAAACAAAACAAAAGCGAGAGAGAAATGAAAATACAATAAATACAAAAACAAAAGCAAAGAGAAAAACAAAAAAAGCAAAATAAGCAAACAACTAATCTTAATGTTTAAGTAAGTAGATGTGTGATAAATGCTTTTAAATTTTTAAACTAATAATATAATATTTAATATTAATGATGAATATTAATAAATAAATATAAAGTAAAATACAAAAATAAATATGTATATTTAAATGATACTATTTAAAATTAATACTATACATACGAGTACTATATATTGTATATTTAATATTAATGAATTAATGATTTAATTAATTGCAGCGCGTATGAAAACTATGGTATATATCTACTATATAAATAAAAAATATAGTTACGAAATAAACACAAAAATACAAAGCAAATAAAAAAATTTTAATTAAACGAAAAAAAGGACAACATCTGCAAATATTCGCTACGATGCTCGCATGCGAGTAAGCATACATTGTAAAGGAAAGGACGCATTAGAAGGGAGGTTGCAGCGCAAAAATTCATTACAAAAAAAATTTAAGAGACATTTTAAAAAGCTTTCAAACAGCGAAATTTATTTAAGAAAAATTCATTTTCTATTCATTTTTGGTGTTTACAATTATTTATTTATTTATTTTTGGATACATAAATTGAACAAAAAAAGGGGGTTTTAAAATGGTTTACTAAAAAATAGTGGAATATAATTAGCAAGATGTTTTTTTTTTTTTACTTGTCTCTTACTAGATGTACCCCAAAAAATATTTAAGTTAGAGAACAATTCAAATTCGAATATGTTTCTCTAAAGAAGAAGGTTAGAAGTCAATTAGAGAAACTGTCGAGTATTATAGCATTCTCTAAAAGAAGGGGACTTAATTCTCATTATCTAATCGTATTCTAACGTTAAATTCTAACTGGCTTCTAATGTCTTGTGTGTTTCTAATCATTCTCTAATCAAATTCTAACATAGTTCTCTAATCTGATTTTTGCTTCGAGAATTACATTAGAATTCTAATATAAAATCAAAATATTTCTCTAACCGTAGAGACTGTGTTTTCTGGGACAGGTTTATATGGAAGGACCTGGAGGAAATTTCTCAAATTCAGATATCTGTTTCAAATAAAGCCACATAATTATAAGAACTTTCTAACCTTTTCCCTAGAATTATTTTACCAATAAAAAAAAATGGTCAAAGGAGCTAGGCTGTTTCTTCGTGCTAGATCCAAGTTTTGTTGATTTTTTTTTTGTATTGGCACCATGTGCTTAACAATTCTGTGAATATTTTTATTTATATAAAATTTTCGACGCAGTGAATTTTGTAAACTGAAAATGACACAAAAAGTAAAAGGTTAGTAGCGTTTATTCGTCTTTATTTATTTTAAAATAATACGCCCGTAGATTATGCTCGAAATAAAAGTAGGTTTTAGCGACAAAAATGATATTCAATATACGT